TAGCAGCGGCCATCATGGGCAGGTCTGTAGCAGCGGCCATCATGGGCAGGTCTGTAGCAGCTGGCAGCTATGTAGCCTCCTGCTCTCTGTTCATTCCCAGACAGTCCTGGTTGGGTGGGCTCCAATGACACGGAATTATTCCACAGCACACGCTATACACAGGTGTCCTATACCCCAAGTCCCTGAAGACACACTGACACTCAGACATGCACCATAGGACATACTTGTTTGGGGGCATCCGTGGAGGCTGTGTGAACTTCAGAACCTCGTGGACCATCACACTCAAACACCACTGTGGGGAAAAAAGGAGGGGAGCTGTTAGCAGAGCGCCAGTGAGATTCCTGAGTGCAAATCAAAAAGGTTGCTAAGGAGGAAGCATTTTCACAAGAAGACATCAGCACCTGGTCTGCAGCTAGAAAACCATTTCCCATAGCACAGTGAGAAACCTCAGTAATGGATGCCTGGGGCCACCACCCTTCCTAATCACTGGGGAAAGCAACCACTGGCTGCATAAATTACCAGTGCATGGGTAAAGGGACCCGTTTTCTGCTCTGCTGGCCACTTGGCCCGTGTCCCTGAGCTCCCGTGTATGTGTGTGTCCCACTGCTAGACAACGTGTACCCATGTCCCTAAGACTGCTGCTCTGTGGTGACAGACAGGCAGGCCAAGCAGGTCTCAGGCCTGAGTTACACAGAGGGCTGGAGGCGCTTCAGGACCCCACTCATCAACCAAGGTGGTTTGTATCTATTCACTGACTAGCTCTACCCATCAGGATGGAAGTCACCAAGTTTTGGGCTTGAAGAACAGTGCCCTGACTGCTGCCCCTAATGGTGGTCTCAGGGTAAATCATTGTCATCTCATTTCTGAAGGTCAACACTAAAGGGAACATATGTAGACTGTTTTTCTCAAACTAAATTGCATGGCACACAGACAGACAGACAGACAGACAGACAGACAGACACACACACACACACACACACACACACACACACACACACACGGCCATGCCGGCAATTGAGAGGTGACTATCCCAGCAACAGCTTTGGCAAAGCTGAAACTTTAAATATGTCCACTGTGACAGTGAACGGCTCATGGAAACATCTCTGTGCTGCTTAGTCAACTTAACCTAGAGTCACCTGAAGGAAAGAATCTCATTGAGGAAATGTCTGGGGCAGAAAGACCTGTGGGCAGGTCTGCTCGGAGGGTGCGGTCTGCTGTGGGCAGTACTAAGCACAGACAGTGGTCTCAGGTTGTATAAGAAAGTTAACTAAGCACAAGACTGTAAGTGAGCCAGAAAGCATGCCAGTGAGGAACATTCCATCACGGTTCCTGCTTTGAGCTCTTGCCCTGGCTTCCTTTGGTGACGAATCGTGACCTGGAAGGACACACCAAATAAACCCTTGCCTCTCCAAGTCATTTTTGATTATGGCATTGGTCATGACACCACAATGAAACTAGAACATATCCCCCGTCCCCCCATGCCCCACCCCACGTACAAACATGCATACACTTGGCACTGGCCAGTCACACGGCCCAGGGTTGTTGTTATACCTGTGTGTGCCCGAAGGTGGGCCCTGAGTTGGCTGGGCTGGTGGAAAGTCTTGCCGCACTCCACACAGACAAAGTCTCCCTGGCGGGCCTGTGTTCGCTGTGCCCCTGTTCGTGATGTGGCATAACATGGAGATGAAGAGGAAAGAAGGAGGGGAGAGAGAGAGAGGGAGACACCATTAGTCTATCTGACATATCAATGTGAGAAGCCACCTCTGGGCCCTGGTGACAACTGTCAGCCTTGGCTTAGCTTTGCTGACAAGCCAGGCACACACAAGACTGCAAGAATGCATAAATTACAGTGAATTAAGCATATGCTCCAGGAGTAGGACAGGGACAGGGTGGCACTGCCAGACTGTGTGGTGGGCACGTGGCTCCAAGCAGCTGGATACACGCCACCCAGATGTCACCTGGCTCTATCAAGTGGTGTAATAAACAAAGGTGACATCCGTGTGGCAGAGACAAAGGCTGGAGGTAACGGGAAGTGATTAGGAGCAGAGCCCACTGCGCCCACAGCTGCAGTCCCAGGAGACAAATGCAGCGCAGTGGCCATCAGCAGCTCCCCCAGCTATGGCCTCCACCCGTCTACCTCTGGAGCTCTTGACTGCCAGCAAGCAGCAGGCAGTAGCCCCCAGTGTAGGCTGTGCCTTTAGCAAGGCAGGAGAGCAACAGGCACCTATATACCCTGAGCCTGAGCTCCGGGCTTCCCTCAGAGCCAGGGGCATCATGTGACTTTGCCAGGAGAGGGACTTCCCCCCCCCACACCTTGGTTCCTTCTCCTGCTTCCGGTACGGCCTGCTACAAAGAGCCTTCTTCCACTGTGTGTCCTTCCCCAGCCACTAAACTGAACAGGAGCTGAAGTTATTCCTGTACCACGAGTCCTTCAAATGTTGACATCCCTAACATCCAAAAGGTGACCTTCAAGGCAAGCAGGAAGAACTGCAAGAGGATACCTAACTCCAAGACTGTCCCCTAAGTCCCACAATCAACTGGTGAGAACTGGCTACAACTGCATTCCATTCCTTACAGAGCAAATGAAGGAAAGGAGTCTGCACCGTGAGACCCTGCAGACCGCAGCACTGCATTTCCTGTAGACTTCCTCGAGACACAAAGATGGCTGAGAACCAATGAGAAGCCACCGACAAATGCTCACAGCTGACACTCACGGTGGAAAACGAGGGTGACCCCGTAGGAAAGACCACAGGTCTCATGGTCATGTGGCCTCTCTCTAACATATGACCTGGGCAATGGGTCCAGGGAAGAGAGGCAAAGCCATCAGACCTCACCAAACCAGACAATGGAAAAGCAACCCACGCAGTGACAAGTCCTCCTACAGGGGGAATGTGTGTGACCTGCACCTCACAACAGACAGAACCAGCACTTCAGAGCACAGAGGATCCTGGTGCCAACAGAGCTCAGCCACCCAATCAGATCCCCGGGTTCTGCAAGCTCAGCGTCACACCTGCACTTCAGTCAAGTGCTGACAGGAAGCCTGTGGAGAGCGGTGCTCCTTTCTGGGAACGCTCATCTGAAAAGGGATCCGTCCAGTTCAGTTTCTACCCCAGCTGAATGCCGGACAATGGCCCACTCACAGCTCTTCTAGAACCTTCCGAGGTATACTTCTCTGGCACCAAAACACTTCATCAGCCACACCAGAGACACACAGAGATGACAACAGTGCCAACAGCAGCCCTACCACAGCCCCATCTCTAAGTTTCTATCTATCTATCTATCTATCTATCTATCTATCTATCTATCTATCTACCTACCTACCTACCTATCATCTACTTCCTATCCAAGCAGTGTACACGTTCACTGAGTTAACACACATTCACCACAGCACTTCCCTTCTACTTTTTAAGAAAGGACATGCACAAAGAGAGGAGACAGGCTCTCCACAGTGAGGAGAGAGGAGACAGGCTCTTCACAGTGAGGACACAGCTCTGCCCATGCACAGAGACGTGTGTAGCATGACAGGATTTCTCACCATTACCTTGTGAGGTGTGGTCTATAAGAAGAAAGACAAGGCTAGAAACTACTCAAAACAATGAGACAGGTTTTGATTTGTTTGTTTGTTTCTTTAAGTTCCAATAAGGAAGTACAGGCACACTGTTTTATCTAGAATTATCTCTTTTCCCTGTCTGCAATCCATATTATCATATAATACAGGCAGGGCAGACTGAAGACACAGTGACTTTTCATGACTACTGTATTAAAAAAAATCACTTATGGTACACCCTGTCTTTCCAAACCTCGTGGTCACTTTGCAGAAAGATAGTGAAGACAGTGGGGTTTATTTTGAGTCCTGGTCCCTAAGGTAGCAACAAAAGTGGGGGCCCCCACAATCCATCCCTAAAAAAGCATCACCCAGACTAACCCATGTTAACACAGGGCAGGAGCAGCATGGGCCAGAAGGGGTGGGGGAGAGGGACTTTCAAAGTAGGCTATCGTCTTCCTGTCTCCACAATCTGGAGTCCTAGGGAAGCACATCGGAGCTGTTGGCTCCCAAGCTAGTATCCCATTCACATAGCAGATATTTCTGGTTAACTGAAACTTTTATGGCCTCCTGAGTGTGGGATCCCTGGCTGCCGAGCTCACCAAGGTATACACTAACAGGCAAACAGCCAGACCCGTCCCAGAAGCCACCAGCAGTAACTGGTTTAAAGAGAGGATCAGAGTCAGTCACTAAAACACGGTGTGGACATCCGGGTCAGTCGCCAAAGGTCAGGACAACAGGGGAAAGAGATGTCAAGAACTGGATATCGTAACAGGTGGCTGTCCTACTGTGGACACACACGGAGGGAATGGAGATCAGCTTCCCACCTGCAGCCGGCCCTTCTGGCACCTCATGACAGGGCAATCTACAAACACACAGGACTGCGGGCCCAAGAACCTCCCACACAGCCAAAACTGAGACCGAGATAAAGGAAACTCACCAGCAGACACAGCCCCAAATCAAGTAAAAACCAACAGTCTCACCAGAATCCACAGCCACGGAGCACTAGACTACCAACCCAGGTCTCCACGGGTGCCACTGCCTTACAGTACCCTAATGGTACTGCCAAGGTCCCAGATCTGAGGTACTGGATTACAAAGACAACTACGTCAAGGAGTAACAGCTTCAAGAAGCTACGGGCTCAGAACACACGAAGCTCCTCAAGGAAACGGTTCTGCCAACTGGGAGAGGCGTGGATTTGACTTTCTGATGTACAGTCTCACTTAGGTAGTGAGGCTGGCCTTGAATTTGCCATCTTTCTGTCTTCTTGCTGTTGTTCTAACAGGTAGCAGGCTCTCTGTTTCTCTGATGTTCCGTTAAAGTGAAAGCGACCTTTGACTTACAATCAAGAATGGCGCCATCATTCAGGGCCACCAGGTCCCAAGGCATCTCCAACCGGCCAGGCAAATCTGCAGGCAGGTTCTTAGGAGCGCTACTAGCTACCAATACTCCAGACATCCACACGATGCCCCAAAACTTACCACCTCACTCACACCGCTCATCAGTCCACAAACAAACTTATTAAAAATTACTGTCCCCTGCCTCCGCCACAACCACCTCCAGATTGCATGAATTTTGTCTTTAGACTTGGGCCCCATTTTCACAATACTATCTATGCATAGGGAACTATTTCGAAATCTCAAAAGATCCAAAATCCAAAACACCCCGGCCCCAAGCGCATGAGATCCTGGACCAGCATTGCTATTAGCTTGTTGAGAATGACAAGAAGGACTGGAGACACCACTGCGTACTGCTTGAGAAGCCGAGACAGCTCAGTCCTCCAGTCTTCATTCATACATCCAAGCTCCAGCAAGGTCCTGCCTGCAGGGCCTTATTTAAAAACAAATATAAGACCTAATCCTCACTTCCAATGGACAGTTTCTCTTTCAGGAAGCAACCACAGTGAATGTGGACCAACACTTTGTTTCACGTGCCCACATGAAGTGTGGTCAGATCCTGTCCAGCTGCAGTGTTACAGAGTGAATAAGCAGGTTTCTAAGTCAGTGTCCACAGGAAGGGGACAGTCCAAGATCGAGACTGACCCAGACACACAGTCTCAAGGGGCAACAATTGAGCTCCAGGGAGCTGGGTCAGGGAGAACCTGCAACTTGCTGGTCTCTGCCTTGAAGACTCAGGCAGGAAAGTGTGTATACCCATGACCTTTAGCGCAGCCAGGGAGGAGGGGGCCCACCCTTCTTACCTCTGTGCTCAGGCCCGGGGCTGCTGACACCCCAGCCCTGGTAGAGTGTGGCGAAGTCCTTTGGAATGTACGTCTTAAAGATACTGAGGATGTCCAAGCGTTTCTCCTGCCCCTCAGCTGCCGGCTCTTGCTTGATGGAGTGTAAGATGGGGGGCGCACCAGGTGGGGCCTGCAAGGCTGCGTCCCCTCTGGACCCCGCTGCACAGGTGGCTAGCGTTCTCAGCTCCTGGGCCGCCTTCACAGGGGGTTCTCGGGGAGGTAGAGGAGAGCCTCCTTCGCCTTTCGTGGGAGGCTGACCCTGAGGCTGAGGACTGAATTTGGCTTTCAAAGAGTCTGGGGTACTGTGCTTATTCGGAGGGGCAAAGCCAGCCCCCACTGCAGGGACCCCGAGTTTCTCCACTGGCTTGCTATTGGCTGAGGACTGGGCACCTACACGGGTTATAACCGAGGGTGTGGGGGTGGCACTTCTGCTGAGGCCCCCACTGCCTGGGGAAGGTGCCAACTTGGAGCTGGTCTCCTGTTTGGGTTTGGTCAGGGGTCCCTGCACACCAGCGCTGGGAGGCTCCTGGCTATGGCCAGCTCTGGTCTGTCGATATCCATCGGGGCTGGAGGCCCACAGAGCACAGGGGCCCCCAGAATGGCTCTCCTTATTCTTAGGCATGCTAGCGGCTTTTGTGGTCACCCCAAGGGGAGAAGAGCTGCTCTTTGATCCTGGTACCCCACCTGGCACCTGGGTGCGGGTAAAGCGAGCAAGGAGCAGTGGCTGGCACTCCTTGCCCCCAAGAGCAGGCGGAGGACCTGTGCGCCCACTGCGAGCAAGGAAAACCAGGCTGCTGCGAATGCTCTTGTGGCCATTAGGCTGAGTCCAAGGGGGCGCCACAGAGCTGCAGCTGACCCTGTGCCAGATGCGCTTGTGCATCCACAGAACCTCAGGGTAGTAGGTCTTGTGGTTACAGTAAGGACACGGGTGAATGACCAGGGCCGCCTGCAGGGAGCATGCGTCCTTACTGCTGGGGTCATCCCGGCTCGACTTCATACTCAAGTCCAGCGGAACCAAGTCAGGGGCGGGCGCCCGCTTTCCTGCCCCACAGTGCTCCTTGTGCAAATCGGACAGCTTTTCTTTTGAATGCCCGGCCTGGCTGTCCAAGGCGAGCTGCAGGCTGGATATTTCCATGCTCGAAGGGAAGTCTACCCGGTCAATAGTGCTGGGTACCTCCTGCTTGGGGTGAAATGCTGGCATCTTTAAGTCAAGAGAAAATCTATGCTGCTCGGGACCCTTGGCAGTCTCTCTGCTGCTGCTTTCAAGTATGGACACGGATGGCGTGGCAATCCCCACCTTGGGCTCGCTGATGTCTTTCTCTGGCAGATTATTTCCGAGTTTGTGACTCTGGTCTCCGTTGGAGAGCACGGTGGGTACCACCTCTCCAGAAGAACAGCAGTGCCGTGGCTGGCCCCCTGCAGGATGCAAAATGTAAAAGGGGATGTTAGCCACTTCTCATCAGAACAGAGTAAGACACAAGGCATCAGGACCAGGGCTTGGTATCAGCAAAAAGGGCGTTCTGAGATTGGGTCTGGAATGAACTACACAGAGAGAGGTAATACTATATCAGGTGGGCTGTCAGCTTTCAACCTTTTTAAATGACCAAAAGATGGGCGAAGAAATCACAGTATCTTGTTACATGTAACGACACCACTACTGAATAAAGAGAAGGCGGCCAGTTATAATTAGAAACTGAGGACTAGCAAGAAGGTTCCCTGGAGAAAGGCACTTGCTCCTGGCTGCCAAGCCTGAAGGCACAAGTGGGATCCCCAGATCCCACGCTGTAAACAGAGGGGGCACAGACTCTCACAAGTTACCCTCCGATCTCCGTGTGCATACTGAAGCATGCAATGCAGTCCCACACATGTTACATGTACACAAAGAAACAGCTGTAATAAAATAACACTTTAAAAGAAACAGGGACAAGAGCTTAACTGTCACCACATGGTAATTTACATGCTCTAGAACTCTCTGCAAGGCATTCGTGCCATCTGTGGTCGCCACAGAGCATTCTGTGGTAAAAGCCAGCATGGAGGCCTCCATAACCCTGATCACACTGAACAGTAGGGAAACAGATGGTTCCCAGAACCACCGGGCTCACCTCAGAAACTACAGGCTACAGAGTAACTTCAGTCCAGCCTTTAGAATCTTCCTCATCAGGAAGGCCACTTTTAACTCTCAAGTATCTAAAATCTCGATACTAAGTTTCCCTTCTCAGGCTTGTGCCTATGAGTGCGCGCGCGCACACACACACACACACACACACACACACACACACCCTGCTATGCTAGGTTTCTCTACGTGTCCCCCTACAGGTCTGAGGGAATCCTGGGTATCTCACTAAGCTTGAGCTCCCAAGTGTGGGGGTGGGGAGCTCAATGCAGTGGAGGTGGGTGCAGATGGGAGGGTATTCTATGGGTTCCCAGCCCCCTCGCCTAGAAGGAGCAAGTGCTGGCCGCACCTCCAGCTGGTTAGAGCTAGGCTCTGCATTGCTACAGGTGGACAGGACACACGGTTCAGCAAAGTCTCCTTTAAATTTGTACTGATGTCCTGATTTTATTCACACCTGGGTCTGAGTCTGGGACAGGACATACCTTGACAAAGTCTACCTTAAATTTTCACTATGTCTTGGGACTATTCACAATTGGGTGTGAATCTGCAGGAGGTGCCCCAGAGATGCCCAAGGCCTCGCTAGAGAACACAAAGACTCTTTACCATTGATGAACCACAAGGCCTTTGGCTCACAGCCCTGATCCTTAGAATACAGACTGAGATGTCCAGAGTTACTCGTGAGAGGGCCAGGAGTTTCCCAAGACTCCAGAGATCTGAGTATTGGGTGGAATGCAGGTGTTGACTTACTCAGTTCTTCTAAAGTGTTCTCTGTAGGTTAGAGAGATAGGGCACAGGAACGTTATCACACAAACTGTTTCAAAGGAGCCTTTGTCAGGGCAAGAAAGCACCTATCACAGACAGTGTCCTGAGAGGAGCAACAGAGATAATGCTCCTTTCTGAGGAGAAGGGGCTAGCAGGCATGATTCTCAACTACAGTCTCCTAACAACTGGGGCAGAATGTTGAGGTCAGGTAAGATGAGGGGGGTGAGGTGTCCACATCCTCACTCTGGTCAGTTCCAAAAAGCTGCCTGAAGGTGACTGAGCGTCAGGGAACTCGTCTGTTCTGAGCCTAAGCTAGAGTGACTTAAAAACCACACTGCAGACACCATCATCACCGCCTGGAATGTAGACACCAAGAGACTTTGGAAAACGAGGGAGAAAGGGAACGTGAGTGGGTGGGACCATGCTTCCTAGCGGTAATGGCATACAGACTCACAACACTGAGCTGCCCTGGAGAAAGCGGATGTTCATCCTTGACATCCGGCAACCGCGGCTCTTCTCAGGGGTTCCAATCATGGCTCCTCAGTGGGGGCTTTGGAACCAGGACCATGAAGAGACCCTTTAATCATGCCACTGTCCTGTAAGCCATGTCTAATCTTTCTCCGCTGCGTTGCTTTCCATCAAGGTATTTTTTATCAAAGCAGAAGAAATGAAACCAGAATGATGTAGTTCTGAAAATTTTAATTCTTTCTTTTCCAAAAGAAAACCAAGAACCTGACTTTTTAAGATTTTTGAGACTGGGGCATCCACCTTGAAGGAATGACATTTTCTTTATGTAGCCAAACACTTCTGAATAGTTCACTGGGCAATTTCAGTGATTTGGCTCCACCCACAGGACAACAGGGAAGAAACCTGCAGGAGTGCAAAGTCTGCCCCCCCCCCCACCTGCCCGGCCCAAAACCCGGGGCAAAACGCGCGGGGGGGGGGGGGGGGGGGGGGGGGGGGCGCCAGCTTCCCACAGTGCCCTTCTCCAGTTCAGGGTATCGGAGACAGGAAGGGTTTGAAAACCATGGGTTCCCAAGCAGGAGAGTCTAGCCACTCCTCCCACCTTAGTGTAACTAGGCTGGGGACACGTCTGAGCCTCTAAGTATGCTCCGTGACAACAGAACACACAGAGGCCCCTAAGTGGATGACTGGGTACGTTTGTGTACTGAGTCCTTGACACATATGTGGGCTTGGCTTGTCAGATATACTGAACGGCTGGAGTACCAGGGGGCAGTGGCTAAGAGACACAGATAAAAACACAGTCAGCAACTGACTGCCTTTACTGAGAAAGCAAAACAGGCCATCCCATGCACCTGGCCGTGTTCTTCCTGAGACACAAACAGTTTCTAAGTACTGTATGCTGGGTTTGGTAATATATTAGAAAAGCCCTTCATGAGAGCGTTCTAAGATGAGGAGACAGAGGAATGCCTGGACTGGACAGGCAGGTGCTCATCCTGGGGACAAGGACAATGTGGCTGACTCTGTAAGGCCAGGTGAGACATGTCCACGGTACCTTACATGAGGAGAAAGGATGGTATGGTGTTCATATACATAGGACACCACCAGCACAGTCGTCTGTGACCACAGCAGGGACAAAGGCCAGAACAAAGACAACACAGAGATGCAAGCCTGGAACCTGGCAGGGTAAAACTAAAAAGGTCAAAGTAGAAATAACGAGAAAACAGGGAAGACTAAGTGCATGCCTGTGAACGACTTTGACTCCAAGAAGAATGCAGGACATCTGCTCTGAGGTTAGACCAAATGAAAGGCATGGGGTCTTGCAATCCCAAACAGCAAGATCTCAAACACTGAAATTCAAGTATCAGAATCTCTAAGCTATAAAAACTTCTAATTCCTTAAGATTCTGAAATAATCAAAATTCTAAACCTTCTAATTCCGGGTTAAAACTACAAATTTCCAAGATCCCATGAGATGGCTCAGTGCTAGGAAAAGGGGCTTTGCAACCAAGCATACGGGGAGTTCAAAGCATACTGGGACCCACACGGTGGAAGGAAAGAACTTACTTCATGACGCTGCCCTCTGACCTCCACGTATGAGCTTCCTAGCATGTACACAGGTGCACGTGAGCACGTATGTGTGTACGCATGCACACACACACACACACACCCTTAAAAATTCTAAAACCAAACAAAATTGCCCAAAAAGACATTTACTTACACCCTAAAAGGAGGACTTATTTGTGAGTTATATAAAAACATGAACACTTCATAGACTTTACACGCCACTTCAAGTCATAAGAATATATGTAAATTCATAAGCATAAACTTCGAGGTACACTAAGACAGAAGCTATGAGCGGACAGACCATGTTAATCAAGAAACTGCCACACTGCTCACCACCGCATCAGCAGCTGCCAACAGCATGTCTGGAGAGACAGTGGCTCTAGCAAAACAGACCACACACAGCCGTGTCTTCCCTCAGCAGCATCAGCCAAGACCCTTCGCGCATGCCCAACGTGTTCAGTGAGCTGTGCAATCACGTAGTTTCGCCAACTCTGCAAAACTGCACAGAACACATATGAATTCCATAAAGGTCTTCATATGATTTATGTATCCAGTAATGGAAATGATGTGGAGATGAAACACACGCAGCGTGGTGAATTACTTAAAAATAATATTGGCAATTAAAATTGTGAGGGGAAAACAAACACAAAAGAAAAAAAGCTGAGAAGAAAACCCAATCTATAAATCAGCGAGTGGATTCTGGGTGATCCCACCACAGAGTCATGCAAAGCTGGCCAATTCTTGAGTCCATAAGGGGTTTTCTCACTTCAAGATCACGGCTCAGCTCAGAAGGCAGACTCGCGGATACACCACTCAGCCCTGCTTCTGGAGTCACTGTGGTCTGAAGAAGGCTGGCACACACGCTGCCCTCCAGCCTGGCCGCTATACTGTTTAGGGCTGAGGCTGTACAGCTCCTGCCTTTGCTTCTGAAAGCCTCTGAGGGCCCTGTGCTCTGAGTCTCAATGGTGCACGTCTGCTAAGAGAGCTATAACAGAGTAAACAGGCAGGCACGCAGAGGTCAGCTCCCTGGACCCACTCCGTGGGTTTCTTTTTAGTTTTCAAGATAGGGCCTTCTCTCGATAGCCCTGCAACTTAGCTCTACAGACCAGACTGGCCTTTTGGTTTTATTTTGTGTGTGTGTGGAGGGGGGGGGGGGGCGGCGAATTCCTTCTGGGTTCTGCTCTCCAAACCCTGTGCTCACACCTAGACACTGGCTGCAGCCAGATTTCCAGAGCAGGTGCTGCCCATCTGGAGACCGGCCCTACTGGACCCGCTAGTTACAGGAGTTTCTATTTCTGAACTACTGATAAGAACAGACCTTTAAACCGCCATCTCCCAGCAGGAAGTACATGTCCCGCCTCATGTGGCCAGCTGCCGGAACAGCTGGTCCCACTCCAGAACTTGGTTCCTGCACCTCAGAGAGCTTTGTACCGGGAAGGTGGTGGTTTGAGAATCGGAGCATCAAGGAGAGCCACACTTAAGAGGGAACTCGGGACTTTAAACGACATTGGGGA